TCTCTCTCTCTCTCTCTCTTTCTTATTCTTATTATTATTCTTATTCTCCTTATTTCTGTTTCTTCTTCTTCTTCATCTTCGTCTTCGAATTATTTCTTATTCTTCTACTTCTTCTTCTGCTTCTTCTTCTCTCTCTGTATAGGTAGGTATGTACATTACATCTAAACAACCACATAAAAAGTTAATGTGTATACAACAGAGACATATTCAATATCTACTAGCAGATGCTTGTCTATAGATGTACACTTCTACTATGATCTTTAAGAAGCCTGTAGGGCTGAGCACTCAGATTGATGACTGGTGGATCCAGCACCTCAGAACACCAGGCCTGAAGCAATAGAACCACGATTTGCATCCGATCCCCCTGTCCCCACGGACCTTCACACAGTGGTCGAAGGCGTTGAGCTTAAGCCCCTGTCAGGCGTGATGCCAAAATGCTATGCAACTATACCCACGGAGGCAAGAAGGTTCTCAAAGGCTGCGGCATGGGACATAGGGAGTTGGTTCTTTGAAGCAGCAGCATCCACACGCTCCCTATCCTTGAAATCCCTGAGTCACGAAAGGGCCTGTGCAAAGGCAGGGTCAGGAGGGATCTCCTTGGCCTCGACGACCACCTCCTGGCATGAGGATATCAACTCAAATCTGATAGAAGTACCTGCAGGGGTCGATTTCCGCATACGCGGCTATGCAATGATGGACAACAGACTTTGGGCATGTGCAGCATTTCTATTCCTAGACGGCGGCTGGGGGCTGAAGTAAAATCAACTCCCTGATGCCCCATGGCCCTCGGGAGTTTCAACAATAGTTGACGTAATTCGGGTCTGCAGCATCAACGAAGTCTTGGCGAATAGCACGGCGTGACATGGTCAGAACGCTCTGCCTGGTCACAGCTTACATTCCTATGATTAGCCAAACCTGTGCCCAGCACTTTGAACTCAACGCTAGGACAAATAAGAAAGAAAGTAGTCCTCCTCTTTCTTGCCCTTCTTTCCTTTCTTTCCTGCCACACTCCACAGACTGGCGGTGAGGAGTACTGCTTTGTAGGATCGAGCAATCATGAGCAATCCATATTGTGCGCATCACTCACGGCCTGCGCATGCTGACGGAGGGGTCAGTGGACAGTGGGATGAGCCCTCTTGGTCATGTTCAAGTGGAGAAGGCGCTGGCAAAACCATGCAAAACCGCTTACACGGTTTCACTCTAATCTAATACTATACAGGACAACTTATCCGACAAGCTCTAGTATGCAGAACTACAGAAAATATCTCATTATTTATTCTGCATGTCAATAAAGCTGTATATCAGACTACAACAGTTAACATAAACCCAAACCATACTTGATCAACACTAAAATACACACTGTAAGACTATGCATCCTGCTGAGGTCAGCCCAGCCTTTCTCTTTTGCCTTTTCCTTCGCTTTGTCCTGGTCAGGGAATCATGGGATCGTCGGATCTCCCTTTGGGGTGTATGATAATGGGGTTGCATAAGGGAGCCCTACGGACTACTGCTAGCTGCTAGTGTGTACTTCTGCAGGCCCTTACATCACTCGACCTTGCAGTCATAACTCGAGCTCCGCCGGCGTCGCCTTCTTGGCCTTGGCCTTTGGATCTTCCTTCTTGCCCTGGCGCTGGCTGGCAAACGATCTTGCAGCTGAAGTCCAGCTCTCCCTGCTCTTTGCAAGGCTTTGGGCTGCCGACTGCATTCCGCATCTTCTTCAGCTCGGCTGCCTCCCACTCACGGTACCTGCCGCAATGGGGCAGGGGCCACTACCACGAGCGTCTCGTTCAGCGGCTTTCAGGATCCAACAACACACATTCTCGCCAGGCGGCTGCTTCAGCGTGCCCTTCAGCTTGATCTGATCCTACCGGATTCACGAGCGCAGGGGGAGTGGAGATTGGAGATTTGACATATTTGACTCGGCGATTGGTGACACCCGTGCAGGCAACCTTCAGTCTCCCCTCGCCCGAGCCCTGAACTACAATTCTCGAACTTCCACGATGACATGTGCCGAAGTGCACCACCTGCCTCCTCTGAGATCGGAGGGTACTCCACGAGCTGTCGGAACCTAGAAGGAACGGACACGAGTTTGGGGGCCTCGCGGGGTAAGACCCATAGCCTCTAACCCTCAACGGCTTTCCTTGATTGCAGGAGAAAAGTGTGGTTGAGTGAAAGGCCTATCTGATGTCAGCCGTGATGATATCTTGTAGCACGACGCCAGTGCATGCTTAATCGTCTGTCGAGCCAAGCGACTCGGTGATGGCCCCAGCTTGAGTTGTCTCTGCCTGTTGTGAAGCCTCTCGAACAAGCATTTGGTGCATCTTTCCACCAAAGTCGTTGATCAGTGCAGCCATGACCGAAGTGAGTCAAACAATTGCATGCCGAGCTGGTGCTTCTGCAGGGGCCATGGCACATCAACTCGGTCGCAGTAGCTGCAGCTAGCGAAGTCCACGGCCGTTTCACAGCTACACCTCAACAAACTTCATGCACCCTCCCTCTGCACCTGTTGGGAGGCCTGCTGCGAAGCCTGAGAAATCACCTCAGAAGCAGCCGACATCATGACCACTCCTAAAGAATAAGGAAGCCCCTTTGAAGGATAACTCTGCTAAAGTCCGTTCAAGCTCCACAGTTGAACGCTTGCAGGCTGAGGCGGCATCAGAGCAAATGCTGCCACCACCATCCAGGCCTCCAGTGGTCTGAATCCGTGCTTCTTCGGGTTTATGGTTTCGGGTTTAGGGGTTTAGGGGTTTAGGGTTTAGGGGTTTAGGGTTTTAGGGTTTAGATTACTGTGCGACAGTCTGCCCAAATCCATTGGTCTGTCTGCTCTTGCAAGAAAATGTACAATGCCTGAAGAGAGAACTTGTTTGATAGTCTCCCTGGTGCACTCACTGCTGCACACTGTCTGTCTAGATAGCACACTTTTCGCAGACGCCCTTTAGGGCAATCCCCTCAACTACCCACGACACAAGGACGTAATCAGCGCCCATGGGGATGGTTCAGAGCTGTGCCAGCAATATAACGCTGGGTGTGCCATGCTTGCAGCCAGTCGTGAGTTCTCAACCAGCCGCCAGGGCGGAGAAGTCCCCGCTGACCCCGCCACCGTTCTGAAGCGTTCGCTCAGGTTCCAGCTGTCTGGAAGGGCGAGAGATCCCATCTGTGGCACCTGGGCGATGTGTAGATACGGGACGACTGAGGAGCCACTAAGAAGGTGCTGGGCATGGAGCAGGCCTTTTCACGCATGCCCATGCTGCGACCGCTTCCAGCATATGGGACCGCATGAGCAAGTCAGTAACTGACCATTCCGAGCTGCCTTTGCGCATTGTTGGCAAAAACCGCAACATCCCTTTGTGCTTGCATGAAGCTGGTGCTACATTGATACCGACCTAAGCACGAGACGGACAGCGCATCAGGCAAACGGGTCTTGAAGATAGTGTGGCCTCAGCTGGAAATCCAAAGGCTGCTAAGCAGCTAAGATGCTAAGACAATCTTCATCAAGGAGCAACGAATATATCCCGCTTGGGTGGGAGCTCTGCTTCAGAAAAGCATTACCTCCGGTAAGAACATTGCAAAGAGACGTTCTTGCACGAAAAACCAACCGATAACCCATCCATCAACCCCTTGCAACTTCAAACCCACGTCCCAAAACCCTCTTCTCCTGTCTTCCATGATAATGAATTCTTCAACTTAGCAGACCCCGAAGTGAAGGTTTACGGCCATCATCGGGGGGAAAACTCCGACTTAGGCAAGGGGAGGGTAGTCCGATGTATAGAGCATTATAGGTTATAGAGCAGAACGTAGTAAAACATGTAGTGTAGTATGGTATATAGTATGGTATAGTATGGTATAGTATGGTATAGTATGGTATAGTATAGTATAGTATAGTACAGCATAACACGCTATCTCGTCTACACCAGACCGCTCAAGCGATGCACCGTGCGTAATGTATCTGAGGGCCATGCACTTGAAGTTCTGCAAGCGTTCGGAAAGAGGCTCAGGTCCTCTGACTTCTCTGGGGCGAACCCCCGCGAGACAGCAAACCACGCACTGGTGAGGAATGCACTCACCATATAGTATACCATAATATAGTATACTATAACATATCATGCTGTACTATAATCTAATTTAATGTAACATATTATCTTATATTGCATTATATTATATTGGATGCTTCGCTCAGCTCCGGTGCCTACGACCAGCGCGGTCGTATCATCGTGTGCTGCCTTGGCCAAAAGTGTCAGCATCACCATGTATGCCCTCCAAGCACGTTAAAAAATACTCCTGAAACCTATAGTGCCAAGAATGTGACCCTAAACCAGAATGCGAAGCCCTATACGGAAGGTAACGTTTCCGGACGCCTGGAGGATCTTTGCAGCATGCCCCGAGCTCAGCAACTCTTCGGCCTGCATAGAGAGATAGGCCCATAGGTCCATAGGTAGTCGCATTATACTCGTGCAGTAGAAGTGTAGAATGAGTATAGCATATACTTATCGTAGAAATATGGTCTTATTATAGTGTTCTACATGAATAATCGTTTCCCCTTAACATTAAACGGGGGGGCTCCCCCCCTGCCCAACTACAAACTCGGAAAGTGGTTTTATTATCAGGGGGTATTTTCATCGCTACAGCTACTTTTGAGGGATCGTGCTCTTGCTCCTGATCTGGCTCTTGCTCCCGCGCTAGCCGCTAGCTTTTGCTCCTGATTCTGCTGCGTCTTTTGCGCCTGCGCCTGCTCTTGCTGTTGCAGTCGCTTTTGCTCCTGCTCTTGTTCCTACTCCCGCTCTTGCTCTTGCTGCTGCTCTTGCTCTAACTCCTGCTCTTGCTCCTGCTTTTGCTCTTGCTCTTACAGTGCTCAAAGGGTATTTGGAGCCTCGAAACCCTCCCCCTGGTTCAGAATAGGTTTGGAAGGGCAGGGGTGATTTCGGGAGGATTCGCCCCAATGTGTTTATTTTTGTTAAGCGGTGTTAAATGTTTCATAGAAGGGAGGGGATTACGTCTGGCTTGGAAAGATCTGGATTCACCTATGTCACATGTAGGTCGGACACCTGTGATTACAGACGTGTCATTACGTAAACACCTGCATCCATCCGTCCATAAATGAATTCGTGCATGCGTGCATGTATGCCGACATGCATACATATCTGCATTCAGACAAACACCGCAACTCAGAGCCTAAAGAGCACTAATCAGCAAGCAACACGCAACCAACGCAGGACAACGCCCACAGCCCTGCACTGGCACACATCTCTGAACTGAAGACCTGGATCCGGAGTGCAGAACCTTGCAAACTCCATAGACTATGCCATAGACCCTAAATTCTCCTGAACCCTGAACCCTTGAAGCCGTACGCCCCAAACCCAAAAAAACTTAAGAAAACCCAGAAACTCCCCAGAAGCTCCGAAGGCTTCGCTGTCCGTAGACCTCGCCGGTGCCGTGGATGACGAAGAGTCGCGGCTCCGGGGAGTCTGGGGCCTCGGCCTCCGTCTCGAAGTAGGCCTGTAATGTAGGGGCCTTATAGGGTATATTTTTCTATTTATCTTTTTCAGGGACCCCCCAAAATAGAAGGTAGTTATTGAGGCCACTATATTTGTGTGTAGTAGGGTTTAGGGACGCTTCGTGTTTAGGCCTTCTCCGATTCAGGGTCGAAGGGTTTCCTAATTCAAGAGTTGAAGAAGGGCTTTCGCAAGTTCGTCGGGAGAAGCTCCGGCCCAAGATGAGATTATGAAACGACGATGTTGGCTACGTTTGTCGAGTCCTTCGGTGATGCAACCATGGCGGGTTTCGAGGCTTGGGCAGGGGATGTAAGGGGGGTTAGCATGCTGGGGCAGCAGGGGCTGAGACGGGCCTGGCAATTCTTCTGCTTTCAGGTTTCTACAAGTCAGTATAGCCTAACACAACAATTTGCTTCTCAACACTCGATCTTGATCTGATCGCCCGTCTGGTCAACACAGGCTTGCTAGTGGGGAGGTTACAGGTGCAGCAGTCAAGTGGCGGTCGTGTTAATATGCGCTAATATGCGCTCATTGAATCGGTGCGCGTGGTTGTATAAATGCCCCTGCTCAGACGATCTGTTGACCTACGAGTGTTTGTAGAGAGTTGCGCATGTGATGCGGCAACGGAGAATACGTAGAAGGTGTTGGAAAGAGTGGTAAGTTAAGACAAACACTTTTCGTCATGGAATGTGGGACGAAACTGGGTGCTGCTAGGTGCGATACGCAGTTATTCTGCTGCACCCACAAAAGGATGCAGCTGATCCCAACTCAAGAGCGACTTCTTACAGCTTGCCCGCGAGAACAATTGGGTCTGCCACGAAAAACCACAGTGCTCTGCACAATGTGATTGTTGGAAGCTGAGTGCCGGCCTTGTGACTTTCCGCATGTGTAAGTATATACTTTTCTTGAGCCTCCAAGGCATTGCACCCACAACGTGCGGTAGTACAGCTGAGGAACATGTGCGCTGCCAAATGTTGGAAACCATGGCAGCATTTTAAAAAACACCCAAGCATTGCAGCTTGATTCTTCAAACAGCACTGCGCAGGTGACAACTGTCGATGCCACGTTGTGCAGAAAGTTCTGAGCAAAGCCAGCATGCATGTTTCATATATAGATATATATATATACATATATATATAATATACACATAACATAATTATATATATATATATATAAACCCTAAACCTACAATAAGCTCAGAAAGTGTGAGGGTCGAGTCCGGACTGCTGGCCCGTCACCTCGAAAGTCGCGGAGGTAAAGCTTTCGGATCCCTTGTCGGACACTGGCCTCCTTCCACGCAACTCGCGGATGCCGGCAAGTTCGGATTGCTGCCGTTGTCGAGATTCTTCTTGAACGAAATGGCTGAGCTGTAGGCAAATCTTAATCGGCACACTGTTGCTCTGATCCTGCGAGCCCTCTGCATGCGGCGATTCGAAAGTAGACATCTGCACACATCTGGCCTTGAGAAATCTCCGGGGATCATCTGGCATTCTCAGGCAGATGCTCCTCAATTCTTGAGCAGAACTCTCACCGGATGCGGCGAACCTGTCGATTTTCTTCCTGATGGATTCCCAGTCTGTCGGTCGACAAACTTTCCGGAGACAGGGCATACTGGACTCAACTTCCTCATCGCCAACCCGACGTTCAAAGCTGAGATGGGCTTGCTCGATGTCCAGAAAAGGGCTGGAGCCGTCCACCAGCAACATCATCCCGGCTAGCTCTGGTAGCGGCTCCCAGACGGAGCTTCCACTAGCCGAACTTCCAGAAGAAGACGCCGTTCTTGACCTTAACCTCTCCGATCGTTCTCTTATCCTTGCCATGTCTGGGATGTCCTTTGCAAGAGCAGGCGGATTTCGGGACTCGGAGTCTTCACTTATTGCCAGCAGGTGGTATGGATGGTCAGCACCAAAGAGATGTGGCACCGGGACGTGAAAGATGTCCGCTGGCACGCGCGTGTTAGAAGCACCACACAAAGAAACCCGAAGGCAAGTGGGCGGAGTCATTCGAGGACCGTCTGCCGGATCCAGGGCGGCTTTGGTGGACGCAGTGATGAAGTCGGCGAAGCGCTGTCGCTCATCCGGTGGCAACCTGAACCATGTGCTTCAAAACCGATTCGCTTCAAACACGTGGTATATACTCTATGAAAAAGCGCAGACTTGCCAGTGGAAGAAAATGAAGCCAACAACTCCCATGTTGCAGACTTGCAGATGTAACAAGCTGGAGATTGAAAGCATTGAACCGGAATGCATGCCAGCCCTCCAACCCTGAATCCACAAGCAGCTTCATGGCCGGGTGGCAGCATCTCAAAAGCTTTGCCATGGAGATTCGCTCCTGGCCAACAGCACTGTTTGAGAACTACGAGGGCCCTGGATGTACTTGGCCTCCTCTCCGTTCGATCAAAGTATTGTTGCGAGCTAAGCTGACCTTCCTCGTCGAGTCGGGTGGACTTGCTCAGTAATGTCAAATTCGAGTGCGCATTCGTGTAAAAGTTGCTCAGGCGAATGCGGTGCAGATCTCGCCTGCAGCATCTTTGAGTAAGTGCCCTTGTCATCCCAGCCGGCAGTGCAGAAATAACTATTGCCCAAGCAACGCTGCTCTGATATAATTGGACAAGCCTCTGTTCATCAGCAGGCGTATAATATGCGCTATATGTACAGATGTATATGTATGTATATCTACATATTTGTATAGATGTGTGTGTGTGTATATACATATATATATATACACATGTAGGTTGCTCTCTCAAGTGTTGGTCGGGAGCTGGTCTTGCAAGCCTGTCAGACTTGCCAAAGAGCGGATTCGCTTGAAGTTGTCCGGCAGGTTGTGCTTACTATTCTTACTCTGTACACATATATAAATATATACATATGTATGTGTGTATGTATGTATGTATGTATGTATGTATGTATGTATGTATGTACTGTGTCTTTAATCTTGTCGATGCTATTTCTGTGACTATTGTTATTGTTAGTATGATCAATATATGCATATCCCCTTGTTATCCCAGCAGAAAGGGCGGAAACACCTCAGCCGAATCAAGCCACACTGCACGCAACCCATGTGGTTGGACAAGGCTCTGTTCATGAGCAGGTTCTGCAGGCAGTCGCCAGGGCCGTGAATCCTTGTTGCAGCCAGCGGCTGAGGTATCAGAATGCTAGCCCAGTAACGCAGAGTGAGTAGTTGCGCATGAAGTGGTCGAGTATTCCTCCTTCCATTAGGGGAGTATAAATATAAATATAACTATGTATATATATATATGTATACGTATGTGTGTATATATATATTATATAATAGCTGAGATGCATGAGATATCTATCTCGAAATGGCAACCCTGACGACCCATCCACAATCAAAGGTGACCTGCAGTCCACGATGCTGCCCATGCTTAACCAAACGCCTGAGTGACAAATCCACACCCAAAATCAGGCCGAACACTGTGGCTGCTTATTGAAGAGTGTCGTCATATCACTGGTCAGGAGAATATCTCCATCGCAGATCCCGCGAAGGACGTGCTGGAAGCTGGAAACCAGGGTCTCGGCATCTGCAAAGTCCAGTAGTGCGTGGATACGGGAACGGATGAGAAACTCCAGCAATGCAGACAGCGCCACGGACCCTACCTGAGTCGTCCAGCTGTCAGGTAAAGAAGATCTTGAAACACAACATGGGCAGAACATAACCTGGTCAACAAATCCAAACAAGCATCGTGCAAAGTTATCCGAAGCCAATTTGATCAGAGTCGCAAAATTCTGAAATTCCATGCCCAACAGCAGGAAGGGTTCTTGACCAGTGTTGTGAATGAACAGCTCCGAAACCAGAGAAGCCACAGAAATCCTCAGCATGCAGCCAAGTTGGTGACCAATGTCATCCATGTCACAGCATCAAAGACGCGGTCAGCGGCAAGACTGTAACTATACTGCTCTAAGACTATAATACCACTAGAAAAATACGATACAGAAGCACTACCAAAGTACTACTATACTACTATTGCCGGACTACAAAACAGTACGACTATTCACAGCAGAATGAACTACACAAAGCCACTCTAGCCTCGAGAACTGCACAGGGAAACTGCCGGGATTCAGCCAGGCGGCAGAGCCTGGAAGATGAAGCAAAGCCTCGGCGATGCGGGATAGTCCAGTCGTCTTAGGGTCTTAGGATTTAGTCATCTAAGAACTAGCTTTCTAGGTCGTGATGCCATGGTGGTTGATGAGGGCTTCGCTGCTGGTGAGTATGATACAGTAATGGCTGTGATGATGATGATGATGATGATGAGGTAGGTTTATTAATGAGATTGACGAGGAGTTGCATCATTCATCATGAACCGTGATTCTAGTGAGCATAAACTGCTTGAAATGTCGCGCTGCAAGCCGCAACGTTTTGGGGAAGTAGTGCAGACACTGACAGTTAAGCGGGGTCGCCCCAGTCAGCGCAACGATGAGGCCAACTTGATGGAGTATGCTGCTACCGCTACTGGCAAGACAAGCCACTCGGTGTCCATGAATATGGAGGTCATCGTCAATCGGCTGCCAATCTTAAAGCCTCTCGCTCGACACTACGGGGTTCTTTGCACATCTGGCAATCTGGTGGAATCTGGCATATGGAGGTCCGGCCTTGCATGAACATTGCATCTCTGGCTGTAGGGTGGCAAGGAGCCAGCAGCACGAATGCTGCAAACCTCATGTCAGTGCAGTGCTCCAATCAGAAGCTAACCCTGCTGCCAAACAGGAGGAACATCTGGTCCGAGATGCTCTGTCACTTGCAGTTCCGGTGTTTTCCGAGTGCTTACGTACAGTGTTCAAAGGACAAGCAGCAGCGTCCACCAGCCAGCGCACACCCCTTTGATCTGATGGGGCATCGGGCGAAGGGCGCCGGTGGCAACTGACCAGTGCATGGAGTAGACCTCGATGGCATTACAGTGACAAATGCTATCAAAAGCAGCCCGGACGCCGCTGGATCTAACCTGTTGGGGCACAGACTACTCCGCGCCCACTTTGGACTGATTCTGTTCATACTGACGGCAACTGCACAAAATCAAGAGTGTCGACATCTGCTTGAAAACAATGTAAAGATGTCAGTGGATACTCCAGACTCGCCACGATTGTCAGAAATCCCATGCGGGCGCAGGCAATCAAGCTGGGGTTTGACAGCAGGTCGAACGACATGAAGAGCATGTTCAGCATTCCGATGTGAACAAACAGTCTCGCCGACAGCACGTAGTTTTTCTGTCGCACCTCGGACACAGCCGCATGGTGCTAAGAAGCCTTGACGAATGCGTTCAAGCTGTATCACCCGAAATGTGCCAGGAGATGGTGCAGCCGTTCGGCCTCTCGCATTGCCTCGCTGACACGAGCATTCCGCGAGTTGTCCTGACAATTGTTCTGTGCAGTTCCGGGGCTGGCAAGAGGGTTTCATTCTTGTACAACAGGCAGGCCAATCGTGTTCATTCAATGGTTTCGACACACAGCTGGCAAGCTCGGTCTCTCTCTTTGGTCGCCCTTCACAGCATGCGGGCGCGGCAGGACCTCCGGCCGTGCACTATTCTTACACACACAAACACGCACACACACACACACACAAATTCAAGAGTGGACTCATGTAGACCCCAATGTGTTCGTGCACATGAAGAATCTCACTACTAATGACATACTGTAACTTTCCCAGGTCGCGCCGCTCCGGTCCGATGGTGCCGGTCATGTAGAAGCTATGTATGGTTCGGAGGACAAGGAGTCGTGAGGTGAAAAACGGAATTGCCAACATATCTATGCGCTGGAACAAACCAATCCGGCAAATGCACTCCCTGCGATAAATTGTGAGTTTCATCGAGATGATGACGCCACACTTCCCTGCGTGGCTTTCCGCATTAAACTTAGTCGTGCGACCATGCGCCCTTACCGACACATGATGCTGCTCTCCTCGTCAGCCTTGTCTGTCCAAGCGAAGCCTTGCTGGAGCCTGAAAGGCTCTTCCAAGCATGACAGGCAAGCTGCGGCAAGCACGTTCCTCTCCCTGTGCAGCTGAAGTTACTGTGGCTCTAAAGCCGCTCGTCGATGCAGCTTTGAAGCAAACAAGCAGACACACAGAGAAGCATGCCTGCAAACAGGCAAGCAAGCAAGCAAACGACCAAACGACCACAATCAAGAAACCATGAAACGAGCAAAGAAACACACACGAACAGCCAACCAAACAAAACACAACAACACGCGATCGAGCAAACCAGCAAGCAAGCAAGCATGCAAGCAAGCAAATAAACACAAACAAAAAACAAACAACAAACAAACAAACAAACAAACACACACACACAACACCAACCAACCAACCAACCAACCAAACAATCAACCAACCAACCAACCAATCAACTAACCAACCAACCAACCAACCAACCAACCCACCGACCAAC